CACTGGTGCCAGGCGTGCGCCAAGGGCTTCGAGGACCGCGCGCAGCTGGAGCGCCACCTGCGGCGCCACGACCTCAAGCGCCACAAGTGCGACCTCTGCCACAAGGCCTTCCGCGTGCCCGCCGAGCTGCGCTACCACCGCAACACGCACACCGGCGCCCGGCCCTACCGCTGCGAGCTCTGCCAGAAGACCTTCTCCCAGCTCGGCAACCTCATCACCCACCGCAAGAAGCACCTGGGCGTGTACCGGCTGCACGCCGGCGGCAGGACGCCCCTGGGCGCCGCGCGGCGCTGCTCCGGCGGGCGGCAGGTCAGCGAGATGAAGGTGCTGATCGTGAAGGCCGGGCAGGGCGGGCAGGAGGTCGTGGAGGAGGAGGAGGAAGAGGAGGAAGACGAGGAGGTGCAGGTGCTGGCGAGGTTGAGGCAGCAGCGGAAGAGGAAGGCGGCGAGGAGGAGGGAGGAGCAGGAGGCGGGGGTGGCGGAGACCGGCGCCACCGAGGAGGGCCCCGCCGGCGCCGTGGAGCTGCGCTGCTTCGAGTGCGGCGCCCTCTTCGCCTGGGAGGCCGAACTGCACCTGCACTACATGCGCCACGCCAGCGGGGAACTGTGACGGCGCCTGCGGGTGAGCGATGGGCCCGGAGGAACAAGGCGCCTGCGCTCGCAACTCCTGGTCTGGGGCGAGGAGGAGGAGGAGGAGGAGGGGGGGGTGGATACAAAGTGCCCTTAATTCTCTTACAAGTCTGCCCGTCCTCCAGCCCCCCCCCCTCCTCCTCGAGGGGTGCACGTTGATGAACGGCCCCCCCCCGACACGAGCCCCAGCGAGCAGTTGGCCTGACGACAGCCTGCTCCATCCCAGGTTTTCCTGCTGGCCGTCGTGGGGGCCCCGCTGGCCTTGGTTGCCAGGACCAGGTGTCCAGTCCAGTTTTTAATTTTAGCAATCTCTTCTGCTTTTTAATGATGACTACTAGTTACTTTATGGGGTTTGAGCATGAATTCATTTCTCTCCTTTGCAAGTTAATATTGCGGATTTCTATGTTTGTATTTTTTCTGCTGAAACAGAAATAGAGGGGCCTTTCTCATACAGTCAGATAAGCTAAGATTGCGTATGTTTGTTTTTGACAGGTAGACCATTAAACAGAAACCCCAGGGCTGACAGGTTTTTAGAGATGTGCTGCAAACGAACTTATCAGAAAGGTGGAAACTGCGTGACTGTTCAGTGACCACGGATTAAAACACACTTGTGCCTCTGCTGGCTCTCTTGTCATTTGGCCCCAGTGTTGAAGGTCAGGAGGCTCCATTTCATGTTCCCTCAGGTGGGGTTTTGCATGAGATCCAGGTGATGCCTCTCTGTGATTTACACACCTGGAGAGAGAGAATGATCAAGGCAGGAAGCCTGATAACGACACTCATCTGCACCGAGCTGCGTCAGCTCAGCTGCAGCTTCTGCAACCTCAGCTCTGTCCTGGGGAGCTGTGATTCAAGACTGTTCTGGAGACAGAAAGGAGGTGCAGGGGGTTCCCCCAATATCTCTGAGTAACCAGATGCGCGATTGGCGTTTGACAGGCAGAACAGAACCTGCTGGATGCCGTGGCCCCTGAGGGCTGGAGTTGGGGGCCTCCCTGCACCCGTCCCCTCTGCCTGCATGCGCGCTGTCCTGTCCTGTCAGTGCTGGTCAATGCCTTGCCTACTGTGAATTTAACAGGACTTGTTTGGTCACTGCTGTGTGCCTCCAGTGACTTTTGAATATGACCTATGAATATTTTTTTAAGAAATACTTTGTTCAGAAAGTTTATATCTCGTTCCCTTAAAACATGTATTTTGGAGATTTCAAAGGGCTTCTAATTCTTATGAAATAAAATTGATAATTTTCTGCATGGGGGGCTGTGCTTGTGTTTTTTTTTATTTCTCAGAGGAGAGAGTTTGTGTCTTTCTGGAGTTTTCCTGCACTATTTTCCTTTAAAAGCACAATTTTTAAACAGAAATTCCAAGCAATTAAATTACAATTTCGTAACAGTGTCTCATTATATAGATACATTTCTAGACAAGCCACTCAGGCATGTTTAAAATAAAATGAAACTGACAAGTACATATACAATTTGAAGTTTGAAATAACTGTTATACTTGTGTAACAGTTGTAAAGTGATCTGATGAAACCGATATCGAGCTGCTTTGGTCTGTTAACAGCTGGGTGGATTGAGACACTGAACTGAGCCTCTAGCACCAGAACTGGAGGAAACACTGAAAACAGGCAGGACCTGAAGGGACAGAGAGAAGACAAACTCCTTATCAGCAGATCCTCCTACATCAGGAAATACCACCCCCACCCCCACCTACCTCCTGGTCCAGATCTCAGCCAGCCCGTTGTGAAGGGCAGAATGCAAGAGTGCCCC